GACGGGAGAAGGAGAACGCACTGCAGACCCACAGCGGGACACGCCCTTGACGGGAGAAAGAGAACGCACTGCAGACCCACAGCGGGACACGCCCTGTCTGACCAAGAACAAGGTGCTCCCCAGCGTGATGTGCACCATGGTCTAGGCCCAACATTTCAGGAACAAAATCTTTTGTTTTAATATTTTAATTAAAATTTACCTTTGTTTGGTCAGGTACGGTGGCTCATGCCTGTAATCCCAGCACTCTGGGAGGCCAAGGTGGGTGGATTGCTTGAGCTCATGACTTCGAGACCAGCCTGAGTAAGAGCAAGACCCCATCTCTACTAAAAATAGAAAAACTGAGCCAAGAAGCTCACTTGAGCCCAGGAGTTGGAGGTTGTTCTGAGCTATGACGCCATGGCACTCTACCCAGGGCCGCAGCTTGGGATTCTGTCTCAAATAAATAAATAAAATGTATACTCATTTATCCTCAGGTACTTATTTTTTGTATTATAAAGGAAATTTGTAAAAATATCAGCTAGATGGCCAGCTCGCACCTAAAGTGTACAGAGAGAACTCTGCTGCTCTTTGTCAGCTGAAAATGCTTTCCGGGCAAGTTGGTCATTATTTCAACAAAACTAATCACAGTATTCTAAAGTATTATTTTGCATACGAATATTTTCATTGTTTTCTAGAGTTACACTTTTCACACATAAGCATAAACAAAATAATTAAAAGGTTATATAAATATGGAATTAGTGCTACCTATATATAATGCTTATTTATTTATTTATTTATTTTGAGACAGAGTCTCACTTGGTCACCCATGGTAGAGTGCTATAGCATCACAGCTCACCTCAACCTCAAACTTTTGGGCTTAAGCGATTCTCTTGCCTCAGCCTCCCGAGTAGCTGGGACTATAGGTGCCCACCACAACGCCCGGCTATTTTTTGGTTGCAGTTATCATTGTTATTTAGCAGGCCAGGGCCAGGTTCAAACCTACCAGCCTCGGTGTATGTGGCTGGTACCCCACTCCCTGAGCTATAGGGGAGGGGTCGAGCCTATAATGTTTATCTTTATTTCTCTCAAAAGTTTCGGCAAAAAGTGTGCATTATACTTAGCAAAATACAGTATTCAGCCTTAAAAAGAGGAAATCCTGCCGTCTATAACAACATGGATGAACCTGGAGGATGCTGTGATAAGTAGAATAAGCCAGATACAGGAGAAAGTGCGGTGTGATTCCACCTACAGGAGGCAACTCTGAGATTCAAACACACAGAGACAGACAATAAAAAGGTGGTTTCCCGGGGCTGGGGGGAGGGGAGATTGGGAAGTGGCTGTTTAGCTGGTTACAATTATCCAACCTGAATAAGGTCTCGAGATCTGCTATACGTACAACATTGTACCTATAGTTAACAATACTGCATTGTGCACTTAAAAATTGGTTAAGAGGACAGAGCTCATGAAAAGGGCTCTTAATCATAGTCAACATCAAAAAAGAAGCCAAAGGACTAAATAAGCTCATTTTGATTACTCTAACGGAGTGACGTAGGATACAGAACATTGTAATAACAGTTCATCCCAGAAAGGCTAAAGAGTTTCTAAAAGAAATTAAAAAATATAAAGCTTAATGAAATAGTGTCCCCCAGGGGGACCATGAAGAACCCGCTAGGGGAGTACATGGAAGCTGGTGGGGAAGCAGGGACTGGGCTGGGGGGGGGGTCCAGGGAACCAAGCAAACCTGTCACCAGCTGGGGGACTCAGTAAGGCTGAGAGGTGAAATCTCTTCTGCTGGATAAACTATACTGCATTAATGAAACAACAACATTAGTAACAATGATAAACCACTCAACATTCCACCTCATCCTTACAACGGTCTCTGGAGGTATTCTGAGGGATTCTAGAAATTAATGACCCACAGAGTCCTTAGGTCACCAAGCCAGTGAGCGAGGAGCTGGGACTGGAATCCTGGCAGGTTGAGCACAGAACCCGACACGTGGCCCAGTTTGGAGACTCACATGATTCTTGCCATGTTGCTGCAAATCACAAGAGAATCTCCTCCTTGTTGGAAGCACCATCTAACTTAGCCCCCCAAAGACAGGCTCATGGGAAGATCAAAGAAACCTACTCAAGCTCAGATTTAGGTTTCATTCAAAGAATCAAGACAGTTAATTGTGGGGAATTATTTGTGATTGAATAAAATTTATAGATTAACTTGATAGAAGGAGAGAAAAATTCTTATTCAAGGAATTCTAGCTAAATACTCTACCTACTACAGTAAAATAAAAACAATGGCAACAGCCATGACGCCTGCTCTAAACGGCAAAGAAACAGCTGAATTAACATGTGCACAGCAGGCACGCCTGTGTGGTCAGAGAAATGAAGTCCTGGACTCACTGACCCTTGGGGCATGACCATGTATGGCAGTGTTGATTCTGCCGCATCCTAAGGTCTGGACTACAAAACTGGGCACCAAAGCATGTCTGCATTCAGCTCCTCTTAAGAAAATCTGTTCTCATACCATAATGTTCTCATACCAACTTCCCCCACCTTACTCTGTTCCAACGTGTGGACGCCTGGATCCTATGGTTGGAAGGGGCAGAGTGTTCTGAGCGCAGCACAGGTGTCTAACCAATTTATCTTTATGACACATACCTGCCAGAATTCTCAGTTTAGACTCAGAGTCTACCCCTCCATCAGATGCTCCAGTTCCTTCTCTCTCAGCATTATTGTTTGCAGAATAAAGACAAAAATGGAGCCATCTTAGTTAAATCTGCTGAGAAGAGTTTATGTCTACCGCATTCAGTTTTGTGGGGTCTACGTATAACCAGGGCTGCTTTCATGTCAATCAAATATTACTTGGTAACAAAGGACGACCTGCTGTCTGTATCTTAGCAGGTCAAGAGTCTTCAGAACCTCATCAAACAGGCAGTGAGGAAAAGGAGGGAGAGAGGAAGAATTAGCTAGTCCTCAGAGTTGGAGGTAAATTATGTAGGTGAAGTGATCAGTTAGATAAAAACAGAGAAGGTAAAAAAAATTATCTTGGTATTGACTTTAGCATGGTCTTGACTTTCAATCTTATTCAAAACTTATAGTATACATTGGAATCAGAGATCAAATTCTTCACTGCTTAATTTTAAAGGTATTTTATATTTCCTTACTTTGTTTAGATGTGTTTTTACATATAATAAAAAATGAGAAAATGCATTTTTAAATAAACATGCTACCCACATGTCATTGAACACTATGAACCAATAGGGTTAAAAAGGAGTAAATTCATAGGGAACAGAGGGTCCTTATTGAGGTAAGAACAGCCTCGAACCAGCCTCCTAATGGCTGTGCCACTCAGCACCCAAGCCCTTGAAAGCTCCCGGTCATTCCTTGCTGAGTTGTATTGTCACACGCTTAGGAATTTTCTAAGAGGTGGGAAAGAAGGTCGACATTTGCACCACTCACCCCTGAACTCGTCCACGGCCTAGTGGAAAGTGACAGGGTCACTATGAATAATCCATAGCGCTCTATGGAATTTGGCTTTTAGAAAGAAAATGAGGACAGAGCTATTTCAAAATATCATGTACACATGGTATTAGCTGGACTGGCAAATCAACTAAAATAAAAATAACCAGCAGATCACATCTTGATGGCGTGTCTCTGAGATGGATGGCGACTCTTTGCACTCAGCCAGCGGGACAGCCTCCAAGCATCTGGAGGAATCTGCATGTTCTACTGAAGGAAACAAGAAACTGAATCTGGAAGCTGGAGGGGGTGAGGAGGGACCCTGACATTCCCATGGTGACCGTCCTCATTCCGGCGTGGACCCTAATCTAAAGCTGTCACCCACAGTCTCACTCCCAGCCCCCCAGGGAGGAACCCTTCCATTGGAGTTATGGGAAATAAACGGCTCTGTGACCTTTCCCAGACTCTCAGCATCAGCTTGGCTGGGAAAACTGGGTGGTCAGAGGAGGAGTCTCCTGAGGCTAGAGAAATTCAGACAGCTGTAGGAGCAGGGCCATGGGGGAGCCTCAGCTACAAAGCCAGGAACTGTGTGTTTTCAGTTTTATTATTTTTCAGTTTATTAATCCATCTATCCATTATCCATCATCTATCATCCATCCACCTGTCATCCATCTATCCATCTGCCCATCCAACCAATGCCCACTGAGCACCTGCTACAAGCCAGCTTCTTGTTCAAAGAACATAAGAAGCTGCTTGCATCTAGTGGAAATGCTAATATCCTGTGCGTTTAAGACTTTTCTATCCAGAGTTTGGAATGATTCCTCTTCCCATCTCTGCTTGTCCATCTGACCAACTCCTATTTATCCTGCAGGATTCAGCTCAATGGCATCCTGTTTAGTGTAGCTTCCATGATTCCCAAGGCCACTGTCAGAGCACAAAGCTCTGGGGCAGGGGGAACTCTTTTAGCTCACTGTAATAACTCCATGTTTGCCTGAAAATTCAGGGGGATGAAATGCTGGTCTCAGAAGGTAGGCCCCATCAGGCCCGTGGGGCGAGGACTGTGTCTTCGGAGGACAGACTTCATATGGTGGAGGAAGATGCAGTGGGGCTGGGAACGAGCCTGACTGGCCCTGGGGGACCACATTTCATACCTGTCGGAGCAGTGGTCAGCCTCCAGATAGAGGTGGGGTCACTTAAGGGAACCAGACACCTCCAGCCCACATCCCAAGGGCTGGCTTCTCCACCAGCCTCGGCACCTGACAGTAGCTCATGGAAATGTTTTAACCTCTTTTAAAACCATAAGAAAAAAATGAATACATTCCAGCCTAGATCATATCTGTCTTTACCCCCAGTGCATTATGGAGGAAACAGCCCCTGAAGGCAAATGTGCTCAGGGACTACTTCCGGTGCCACCCATGGGCCTGGCTCTGCATAGAACACTGATTCTATGCGCTGTAAAGAGGGCTGAATGAAGAGTTTTACTAATGGATGAAGTGATTTAGGATTTAGCTTCAGGTCAGCTGGAGAGAGTTAGTTGGGAATTGAAATCCCTTCTATTATTCTTCTTTCTTTCCCTCCCTCTGGGTTGATCCAATGTGATGTCACATAAGAATTTTATTAAGAACAGAGATTCCAAACACAAAGCCACAGACTAAGCGAACCTCAGTACATTAGAAGGCCTTTCAGATTCTCCAGATTATGTGATCCACTTACCTGGGCATGGCAAAATATTGCATTCCTGGTATTCCAAGGACGGCCCCAAGCAGGGCATGCCCCCGTACTTGGGTTCGGGGTTGTTACAGACACGCTTCCGGTTCCGAATGCCCCGGCTGCAGTCCCGGCTGCACTGAGACCACGACGTCCAGGCCGACCAAGCCCCGTTGATGGTGTGGGCCGAGTACCTCCCAGCACGCAGGAAATCTCCAGAAAGCCCTGACAAGGAAACAGCTGAAGGGTAAATCTGTTGGGTCTCCGGGTAACCACAGTTCATGCCAACCTTCCCTCTGTGTCAAATGACTGCTTTACGTCCGAAACTACCCTCTCAAATTTGGTCGAACTCTTGTCATACCCAGAGCCAAAGCCTCCCCCAGGGCAGTGATGACCTCCTGTAACTCAGGTGTCTTTCCTGCAGTTGCTATCAAATAAGCGTGCAAACAAGAACTCCATTTATGAACATGGAGAAGTCCTCATACCGTGACTAGGCCTTATCTCTGCAGTTCATTTATGTTTGAAGGAACTTCTTCTGACAAAGAAGCTACAACCTTCTCGCTTCCCTTGAGAATTCTGTAACAACCTGCCCTCATACCCAATGAGGTCGTGATGCCCTAAAGGACATCGTCTGGAGACAGGGAAGCGTGATTGGTATTTTTTCTAAACCTGTTCCCACACCTATTAACCTTTAAGAAGTGGATTAATGCTGCTGAGAGGTGCCAAGTCAATAGTTCCTGAGAACTCGTGCCCTGGAACCAAACACATCCCCAAATGACCTTGCCAAATATCAAAAGCTCCTGTGAAGTTCAGGGCACACTTACCAGCAAAACATGTTTCCCCAGGAGCTGATGGAGGTGGCAGCAGGAGGTGGGATGCTGGGGGTGGGGTGGGAGGGTTGTCTTAGCAGGAACTGTGGCTTAGTCTTAGAGGACTGTGCTGTGTGTGAAGTCTACTCTGAGTACTTTAACATGTCACTTAATTAGCCATAAGTAAAATTTGTGTTTGTTTTAACAAAAATGCTTACTCACGGTATTTAAAAATATTCAATAATTTTCTCAAATGTAGGCAGCAGTGTCACTGAAGTTTTAACAAATTAACTCTCCAAATATGCCATGGAATTCTAGGGCAGCTTACTCATAAGAAGACAAATATTCCAATAGCTCTACACACAGCTGATAAAATCTGTTGTCTACTTAGACACTCTCTACCAGGGAGGCAGGATATGCTCAGAGAAATTGAAGTGGAAGACTGTTCCTGTGATGAACCAGTATTTTGTGGTTTATCAGTGAGGAATAGCTAAATACAATTAAGCCTTATTTTGTGTGGTAAGAAGAAAATGAGTCCATTTTTGCTTGTAGGACCACATCAATACACTACATGAGAAAATTCTCACAGTGAGATCCTTTCCTTCAATTTGCTATAAAGTCAGTTCTTCTCCACAGGGGTCATTATTATGGAGATTGGTAAATAATCAAAAAGATAGCTTTCTCCTTGCTCTTTATACGCCTTAGAGGTAAGAATGAAGACCTTCCCAGGGGAGTAGCCGCCCTGTGGAATCCCTGCTCACCATCGGTGGAGCAGCCGCTGGTCCCGTCGCTGGAGCAGTATCGCATTTCTATCCTCTGTCTTCCCACTTCCAGCAAATTCGGATCAGGCAGGCGGGCTTTGCAGGTGTATCGGAACCTCTGCTCATAGTGCCCACCGTTGTCAGAGATGTTCACAGGGGTCCAGGGCGTCCAGGGTGTGGTCTTCTTCAGCTCAGGGCACGGGTTGGTGTTACAGGGCTGGTACTCCTGGGGGGGTACACATGGCAGGTATTACTGTGCTCCACACAGGGCAGTATCACAGGGCGCCCTGCCTGGACAGAAAGGTGAGGGTCAGATTCTAGGTTGCCCAGCAGATACTCTGTAGAATTAGAACTGCATCTGTGCTAAGTTATGCATTTAACAGAATGCTTGGTATCCAAGTCATCTCCAAAAGGAATCTGCACAGTTTTCCCTGCGTAAACAAAGAGAAGACGGCAATAAACTTAATTGTACGTGAGAAAGAATGGTACTCCGATGAAAATCATCTTCTTGCTTAATATGTAACCCAAGATGCTGCTCATTCTGATGTTAAGAATAACTGTTTCAAAAAATTATTTTTTAGACCTCGTAATATTTCATTGGAGAGTAATGGATGTTACATAGGTCACTATGAAAGTTTTGAGACAGACTGTGTTATGGTCCATTATTTTACTTTCAACAAACACAGTCCACAGAGTCCTTTCTGATTCACCTGTTCAAGTTTCAACTTGCTCGGGCTTGTCAGTCTTGCTGGGAAGGCTTCATTTGTTTCTGTGTAGATTTCACATATCTTAATTTTTGTGTATCTGAAAACTTTTGTAATGACCCATGTACAAGCCCTGGCATCAGAGACTCAAAGTGCAGAATGATAGGGTAGCCACAGGATAACACAACAGATGGCACTTCTGAGTCTATAAGAATTTCACCATCATTTCCACAGTTAACAGCTCCATTGCATTTCCCAGATTCACCCCCTTCCCTGACTCCCAGAAGGGAGGCCCAGGGTTGCCAAGCATGGGGTAGCTGTGGAGGTCTGGTTCGGGGAGCATGCTGTGTGTTGTGATGGAGGGTACAATTTAAGACTATGTTAATCAAAATCTTCCTGGAATACTGACTGATTCATTTAACAAGAATTCTAAATGCTATAGCTTCAGAAACACAGCCCAAAATAAGGGACAGGAGGGTGGCCTTAGAGGTTGCACTACACTGCAATTCCCCCACTGGGCAATAAAGGATGTTGCACTAGAGGGAAAATCTACAGCACCGAACACACCTAGGCACGGCCATTCCTTTACAGGTTGTTAGAATGTTCCAGCCACCATCACCACAGCTCTGTTTCACAGAGCCAAATACGTATTTCACTAAAGTTTAATTGCCTATTTGTAATTCTACAATTCTTACATTTCTGGGAAGTTTGTCAAAACAAGAGCTTCCCTGTATTTATTTTACTTTCCCAAACACAAACACAAAAACAGTATTCATTTGGTAAATGGATAAATCACATTGATGAAGTAACCGATAGACTTACTCAAGTAGAATTTGCATAAATTTGGGGAACAAATTTGGATGGTTAAATGAGGCCTCCGATTTTGCTGTTTATTTTTCCTATGAAAACACTAAAATAGCTCACATTTCATGGATTGAAAGTGAAACAAAGAGATAAAGATAATCCGAGCAGAATTTTGATACCATGTGCTCAGCACAAGTTATAAAAATTATCCTTAAAGTGGCTGAATATATAAACTACATTTATTCTCATATGGAACACTTATGGTTTCCATATGTATTTATCAAGTTCTTTTTCGGTAACCAGGCTTGGCAGGCTGAGACAGAACGCCATTCTGCATAAAGGAAACGACCAAGTAACTCAATTGTGCTTGCAGAGGGCCAAGGCGTTCCACGGTGTGCCTGGAAGCCGAGCGTGACCCCAGGAGCCTGCAGCAAGCAGAGAGAAGGTTGACAGGAAGTCCTGGAAATTAGTTCAGAGGTGCCCAGGGAGGGAGGTACACAGAAGGCAGTGGATTCAGAACTGTGGAGTTACGGAGTGACTTCTGTGTCCCACAGTGTGGAGTTACGGAGTGACCTCTGTGTCCCACAGTGTGGAGTTACGGAGTGACTTCTGTGTCCCACAGTGTGGAGTTACGGAGTGACTTCTGTGTCCCACAGTGTGGGGTTACGGACTGACTTCTGTGTCCCACAGTGTGGGGTTACGGACTGACTTCTGTGTCCCACAGTGTGGAGTTAGGGACTGACTTCTGTGTCCCACAGTGTGGAGTTACGGAGTGACTTCTGTGTCCCACAGTGTGGAGTTACGGAGTGACTTCTGTGTCCCACAGTGTGGAGTTAGGGACTGACTTCTGTGTCCCACAGTGTGGAGTTAGGGACTGACTTCTGTGTCCCACAGTGTGGAGT